CTATACAATGATAAAATCTTCAGTTGTAAGATATTATAATCTTCACTGTTCAGTATATTCTCTTATTAAAACTCTAACTTCTCATAGAATTTAATAATTCAAAAGATGTTTACATCTGTTACATAGTGAAACTAAATATAGATATTGAAGAACATCAGTGTGAAGATATCTATGTATATAAAGTTGATAATCTTGATTATATTCTAATATTAGAACTTATCTGACTATCTGAACAAGGCATCTTATTAAACACTTAAAACAGAAGTTTAATATTCTCTAATAATAATAGAATTTATGAAGATGATATTTACAAGACTATGAATCTTACACAGATCTCTGTCAATACTTATGAAATACTCTGAAAAAGAAGTTATTAAAACTACTAACAGAGTTACTGATAAAGTCATTAATAGCAGAATTATATATTAATCTATTTCATCAGTCTGACTGATATCAAGAAAGCTCTAGAAAAGTTATCTTATACTACAATAACAGATTCTTATACAAAACTCTCTTAATAATATCATGAATATCTAGATGTCTTCTGATAAGATAATATTATAAATATATCTTCTTTACAAGACTCAGAAGTGAATCACAGTATCAAGTTAGAAAAGAAGAATGATAAGAACTCTGAGTTACTGTAAGACTCTCTTTATAAGATATCTTGAGATGAACTTCTTCTTCTTTGAAAGATACTCAATAATCTGTTGAATAAAAGATTTATATATATTAGTAGCTCTTTCACTGCAGCTTCTATTCTCTTTGTAAAGAAGTCAGATAAAGAACTCTGATTCTGTGTAAACTACTGAGATCTGAACAGATTGATAAAGAAAGATCATTATCTCTTATCTCTTATCAATAAAACTCTAGCACAGATCAGATAAGCTCAATAATTTATAAAGTTAGATATTATTATCATATTTTATAAGATTCATATCACTGAAGAAGATGAATAACTTACAGTATTCTGAATATATTATAATCTCTTTGAATGAATAGTCACACTCTTTGAACTGACTAACACTCTCAGTATATTTCAGAAGTATATCAACTGAGTACTCTGAGATTTTCTTAATAAGTTTATATCTACTTATCTAGATAATATTCTCATCTTTATTAATGAATTCAGAAAAGAGTATCAAGAGTATATACAAAGAGTATTATAATAACTATGAGAAGTAGAACTATCAATTGATATTAATAAGTGTAATTTCAAAGTTAAGAGTATTAAATACTTAGATTTTATTATAGAAACTGATAAGAGAATTCAAATGAATTCTGAGAAGATCTCTGTTATTCTCAAATAAGAAGCTTTATATACTGTAAAAGATGTATAAAGCTTCATTGAATTCACTAACTTCTATCAGTGATTTATACAAAACTTCTCAGATATTATAAGATCACTTATAGAACTTACTAAGAAAGACTTAGTATTTTAATAATCAGTGAACACTGAAGCTGCATTTACACAGATAAAGAAGATATTTATTAATATCTCTCTACTGATAATATTCAATTCTGACTGTAAGATAGTTGTTGAAGCTGATTTCTCTGACTATGTAATAGAAGAAGTGATATTATAATATAATGATGAAGATATTCTATAATTATATGTCTTTATATCTAAGAAACTGAGTTCTGCTGAATACAATTATGAGATCTATGATAAGAAACTTCTCACAATTATACACTGTTTAGAAGAATGAGACTCTGAACTTTAAAATATCTCTGAATTTGAGATAATTATAGATTATAAGAATCTTAAATACTTTATAACAATCTATAAACTTATTAAATAATAGATATAATAATCAGAGTTTCTAAGCTGCTTTTATTTTACAATACACTATTACTCTGACAGTTAGAACTCAATAGTAGATACTCTCTTATAATAAGAATAAGATATACTATTCAATATAATAGATATATACTGAATAAATCAAGAACACTGACTCTATACTTTGCTGATCAGAACATTCTCTGAATCTACACTGAATAAATTATAATATATAACAGCTTAAACTGATGAACTTCTTCAAGTACTTACTGAAGCAGTATGTTAAGAAGTAATCTGATTTTCTTCAGAACTATGTATAAGAACTGATATCTCAGAATATTCAATTGATAATAATAACACTTTATAATTTCATGAATAATACTGAGTCTCTCACTCTGAATTCTTACATACTCAAATAATATAAGAGATGTATAATTCATGTATAACTAATTATTCAGACTGTGAATAACTGTATAGAATAATCTTCTAAGAGTTCTACTGATCTGAGATATTAAACAGTATCAGACACTTTATCTGAAACTGTAATTATTATTCTTTTATTATCTTATGAAAGAACTGTAGAAAAGATCTGTTAAAATCACTCAATATCTCTGATAGAATTTAATAAGATATGATAATTAACTTTACTATTAATCTCTCTAAAAGTAAAGATTATAGAAACATTCTGATTATTATAAATTAATTAAATAAAGATATAATATTAAAATCTTGTAATAAAATAAATACTGAATAAGTTATTAAAGCTTTTCTATAGAGTCTATTCTACTGAATATATAAATTACTGAGATCTATAGTATCAGATCAGAGCTGTTAATTTATAAACACTCTTTAAACAAGAATCTATCAAGTTCTCAAGATTATATACTATCTATCAACTGTTTATTACTCTGAAATTAATAGTATATTAGAATAGATAATTCAGACTGTAAAGAATTATCTTTATAAGTTCTATAATTATTTATAAGATAACTGATATAATCTTCTTCTATATATAGAGATTACTATTAATAATCAAGATACTATTTTAATAGATATAAGTCTGTTCTTTCTTACACATGATTATTATATAAAGATATTAAATCTTTTAGAGATTATACAATTTATACTGAATCTCTGCAGTTTTATTCAGATTACTGATAATATAGTAATAAAACTCTAAGATACTTATAATTAAGCAGAAGTCTTCATAATGAGTATTAAACAGAATTAAGAAGATTAAATTAATATTTATTAAGACTCTATTAAATAATATAAGATAGAAGATCTGATATGATTAAATCTTAAGAATATATAAATTATATATTTATCTCATACACTAGATTATCATTATATTAGATATAAAGTGATAGAAGTTCTAGATAGTTATAACTACTATTTTAATACATTATCAGAGATTTATAATATCTTTTATACAAGCTTACTCTGTTATACTGTCACTGACTTATTCTCTTCTCAACTGACTTCTGACTAACAGCTGCCAGATATTATAGAAGAAGACAATGAGCTTAAATAAGAGATTAAGAATATTCTTGATAAGAGATCTCACAGCTGTAACTGATAATATCTTATGAAATATATCAGATATAATTATCTGATCTGAACTCTGAGTTTCATATTATTTAAAACAGCAGCTCTTTACTGATGAGAACTGCTTCTGAAAAGAGAGAACTAATGTAGTGAGCTGTACCTGATCAATGATATAGACTATTTCATTATACTTCACAGATTTCAATTACTTCATTCTTGAATATATATACTCTAATTCTCAGCCATTCTTAATCACTGATTCTCAGTTATTATAAACATGTATAGATTCTTCTGCTCTGAAGCTTCACTGCATACATCATCACATACATGTATAAATATTCACTTCAATCACTGATTCTCACACTTTCTCTTTCTTTTCTTCTCTAATGTTTTTCTCTTTGTTATATAAGACCTATCAATATAATACTGATCTATTCAGTGTAGGCCTCTTACATTCTTCATAATTTAATTGAAAAAGAGAAAATTATGATGAAACATGTTAATTCTACAGTGAACATAGCTGACAGGCTCACCAAGCCACTGGCAAAGCCTGTGTTTGAAGATTTTGTCAAAAGAATTGATTTGAAAGAGATCAGAAAGAAATGATTGAATGATAATAATAATACAGTGAATCAGTGGATTTTGCATGTATTTCTTGATTTTTACAGTTATTACTGTACAGACGCCTTTCCTAATGAGGAAATCAGGGTCTGATTGATGTAATTAATTATTATTGTGTTTTTGAAAGATTTGAGGATGGGAGAGGCCCCGGGTGGCGGCTTATAGGCCACGGCGTAGCAAGGGGGGGTGTTGGTGATTACTACACCTACCCTAGTCACGTGCCACCCCAACCTATCCATTTAGTGTAACTCGCGTAGATAGATTACACACACACAACACAACAACGTTATCCTCCAAGAAGAATGGTGAGAAGGATGGGATCGAAACACAATTATTATTGAAAAATGCAACAGCTGTGTTGCTCCAAAACCTTTACCAAGATTAGAAGATGAAAACATCAAAGTCGTATGGTCGATGGCTTTGCGGATCCGTATCCGTACCGCTTGAATCCTTGCTATTCGCCTATCTCCCCTCGGTTTCCTCTCGCTTCAATGGATCTTTCGGCTGTTCTTTCGTATTTTCTGACGCCTTCGGCAGCCGCCTTCCGCCGGCCTGCCTCACTCATAGATCAGAACCCGCGATTCAGTGCTAAAGAATGGAGCTTGCTGCCTGCTGTCGTTGATTTTTCTAAATTTTTTCCCCTTGCAGAGCTTCAATTGCGCTACCGTGTTCCACTCTTAATCCGCCTAGGCACGTTGGAGATTCGGCGACGACGCGGCTCTGAGACTTATTGGATCCTCGAATCCCACCTCCATTATGATTAATCTCCTCCTCTTCCAGCTTCGCATTGCATATTCCCCGCGACTTCTTCCATTTAAGTTTAATGGACAGCCAGTCTCTCTCCCCCTATCACATTTAGGTCGATGCCTAAGGTGGGACAAGCGTACCGTTCTACAGTTACTGGATAAGCAACTTATCTATGTCTTGTGTAGCACGTACAGCTGAGACGTTCCGAACCATTTCGCTAACTTCATATTCAACCAGACCTTCCATTTTCTAGAAAGGGGTCATCAGAGGTTCTATAGGAGGCCAAAAAGTCGCCCCCCCCCCCCCTTCCCCCAACCCCCGATTTAATTATTTCGTTTCCGGATGAAACACAAACTCAACATGATCTACATGCGGAATTTAGCAGACCTCCGGTGGCTCGTTAGAACCTATTCGACTTCGAAACACAGATTGGCTCATTGTGGGATATGCTCTCCCGATGTAGCACTGTATAGTGGTACTCAGAGGGTTTCCCGTTAGAGCACCCCTTGAAACAAATAAAGAATGCTCCGTCAACAACCTATATTGAAAGTATTTGAGACGCCATGAAGGATGCTTCAAGCTGCTTGCCAGATCAAATGATCTATGGTCCATGAACTTGCAGCGGCTACTCAACCCAAAACATCTATCAGCGAAAGACCGCTTCATTATGTGTACAAAATATGGCCAGGGACTGGCCGAGAGCAAGGGATAATTAATGAGACGTCATTCGATTTTCGGCCTTAATGAACGGATAGTGGCTTGAGGGTCCCTTCAATACTAAAAGAGCCGAGACAGGGAAACCAAGGCAAGGGCTTCAGCACCACAAACTTTGAAGGCGGGAAAGATTTTAACATACACAGAATTATAAAAAGAAAATTTCAAATGCGCATCCTGCTGTTATGAAACTACCAGAAAATATTTATGCTAGAATACCACCTGCCAATGTTGAAACCTAAAAGACACTCCTAATCACGCCCCCATGCTGTCTACCAATATCGATCAACCCCTACTAGGCGGAAGGCAATGGGAATTGACATATACCGTTCACAACGGCCCGGTAACAGGAATTATTACTTCCCACGTTATTAGGGGGGGAACAACGCTCTGCTCCTACGATCAATCAGGGAAGGCGGAATCGGACAAAGGACAAGGGATATGTCTAGTTGGGAATTACAGCGCCATGTTTATTTCTGGAGGTTTGATGGCCGTCATGACCGTCAGATAACAACATCCGCATATCAAGAGAACGCCCAGGGCAAGGTATCACTTACGCAATTGCACTGTCCGGAGGGGCACTGGCAAGAAGCACCACAAGCACAGCCACAGTCACCTATTTATCAACGTAGACATTGTTAATATGGTGCTGAATATATGAAAGATGATGCAAAATCTCTCCTGCACTTGGAGACAACAAAACGGAGCCACATGAAACAGGGAAGTTCACATACCCATGATGAAATGCGGGGTAATTGATGGAAAAAAAATCGGTTGATAACTTGGTATATCTGTAGGTATGATGTTGGATTCTGATAAAACCTTGGGGCTGACGAAGGAATAAGGAAGATAAAACAGATTCCCCGAGAAAATCTGGGATCTAGTGGTCTATTTATATGCGCGCACGAAGGAAGGACGGGCGAGCAACCTTACGACCACATGTTGCAAGGCGGGGTACAATCCCGCTAGAATATTTTAGCAATTGGTGGTTGGTTGGTCGATAAATCCCCCCAGATCCATATTAACTTGCTTGCCTTGCCCAACCCACCAAAATGCCAAAACATAATAAATCAACAAACAAATCATGCAATCATCCCATCCCGCATTCCCACACGCTCGGGCTTGCATCGGAGGGGCGCGGGTTATGCTCCTGTGTGCGCCAATCGCTGGAATCCACTTGAGCTGATGATAACTCACATTCCGGCGTTTTTGGGCCCGGAGTAGGTGGAAACTGATCCGACTCGTAGATACGTCGGGTGAGTTCTACGGGATTGGATCATTTCTCTCCCGTGTTTTAGTCGGCCGGCTTTCTACGCTTGGTTTGTTTTTTTCTTTGTGATTATATTTGTGATTATATCGACAAGTAAGATTTGAATGTTGGAGCACGAAACCGGTTACTTGGTTTCTTTCTTGGTTTCTTTCTGACACATTATGGTTTTATTTTTTAGTTTAGATCTTCATGTGGATGTTGGGTATTTAGCCCAGGGCTGACGAGTAAATACAAAGTTCATTAGGGATTCAAGGGCGATTCGTTGCTGTTGGGGACTGGCTGATACAATAGAAATAGTTTATTGTACAGTCAGCCCGATTTAAACTTCTAAAATCATGGTATACTAGAATTATTTCCCCTAGGATGGATAGGATTACCTATCTATCAAACATGGCAATGACACATCATACCGTGCCATCCAAAGTATTTAAGGAAAATCTTCACCTGTTTCATGCATCACATATCCGAAAGTATCCCCGAGGCTACCGCCGTATTCAACACTTCGCACCATCCATATCCAGAGGGCAACATCTACCCTACCGGGGTCCCACCCAACCCCACTGAAGCCCTCCTTTAAGAATCTTACCATGCCCTTATCCAGTGCGTGTTCCTCGAAGCTAATCCGCCCAAGCTCCCAATGTAGCCAATCATCAATCCTTACCCTAGTCTCCGCTCTCAACAGCCCGACACTCACGTCCACCACCTCCGGTCTCTCATCAGAGTGCCAGAAAACAGTAGCGCCACAAACGCCACAGAATTCTCTATAGACTCCGGGAGAGCTTTTATACTTCAGAGTTCCCAAGTCATCGTAGGCTAGGTTCGAGCCGTCTGATGTTTTGAAGATGTTTAACCGTGAAATAAACGCCCAACTTTGGATCGGGAAGCCAGATGCTAGCCGGCAGGAGTTGCAGGCGCAAAGGCCTGCGAGATATTTTGTGCCATTATCGCACAGCCACCATTTCACGTCATTGGGATTGGCAGCCGCCGCAGAGGGGGGTGTGGAGGAGTGGTAGGGAACCAAGACATCAGACCATGGGGACGTGGGGGAACGGGATGTGTGATTGGGGGCGGTCATGAAAAACTTGACGCCCTCGCACTGGCAGCTTGCAGCTAAGGTTTTGGTCGAAGAGGGTGCGGAGTTTGGGGATTCCTGCTGAGATTCGTTTGATTTCTGGTCACTCGTCCAGCTAGTGGGAGTGTAAATATGCTGGAGCAGTGCGGGTAGCTCCTGTGAAACATGTGTTGCGTTCCGTTCCGCTCTGAAGAACCCCTCCAGCTGGCTTGGGCAGACCGAAGATGCCTCCGTCAACTGTACTGGCTAAACACAGATGTGATATGGACTCCGTCTGAGGTCCGCTGTCTTCTATGGTTCTCCGCGCTGCCATGAATTTTGCCTCATACTCTTCGGTTCCCTTGATCTGGAGAAAGACATGGGCGCCGCATGTTCCGCAGAACCAGAGACTCGAAGTGGTATTCGACAAGGCCATTAAGATCGGGTCCTGATTGCTTGCCTTGTTTCAGAGGGACATAGGATGTGCAGAGTAGTCCTGCTGTCCGACGACAGGTATCGCAGTGGCAGAAGGGCAGCACGGATGGGCTACGCATCACTGAATCTGGTGACCAGTCCAGGATCACGGTTTGAGATGAGCGATTGCATAGACATGCAATTCGTGTCGCCATGGTCCCTTGATTCCGCACACTGCAAGTGGAAGAATGATGTGCTGCCAATGCTATTGAATACTGGGGACGAGCACGTTAGCTGTGCATGTAATCGCTTGAATATGGATAAGTTGACGAGAGTGTTTGAATGCGATATCTATTCAGGCGATGGGAGATGCAACATACCCCCTTCAGACCCACGTCATCTAGGTAAGCACGAATACGAGATATTTAGTAGTACTCCGTAGATTGCTGCTAAACATCCTTGATCCTCGAAAACGAGAGCGCTTCAAGGATTGGTAACAAGCGCAGCTTGAAATGCGCCTGCGGTGCTGCTTCACCAACGAGAAGCCAGGCCAGCCAAACGTCAGAAAGATGCTTAAAGGCCAGTGGTTAATGTATCTCCTGCAGCTAGGTGATTGCCTCTCATCCCACTAGTCCGTAAGTGCCCTTAAATAGTGGATGAGTAAATTCAATTCGCCCAAGTTTATGTATTTAGCTTCCCGCTTATGAGAGCAGGAAGATATCATCTCGAGCTGGGGGTCTGTCTTGACAGTTGGCGTTAGTGTTAAATGGCGATGAAAAGGCTTGAAGAGCCTCCAAAAGATTGTATCGATAATCAACCTTGTAATTCTCAGAGCATTATATTGCCTCGATAGTTCCTATTTTGTGTATTGGATACGATATCTTTGGAGCTGATATCAATCCACAATTTGTTTTATTATAGCTTGTTAACAGCCTTTTTCAACTTGAAGCTACTACGTCTTCGGCTATGCTCGATTTGCCTCGGAGAGACTTCGCACGAAGTTCCGGAGCAGTAATGGTGGCCGACTTTGAAACTGGAGAGACCATTCTGAGTATTTTGATAAGAACGTGGAATTAAAATTTTATTCTGGAATAACTAGCTTTCCTCGCAACAAAACAAAATATTCGCTGTCTGACGCTGTCTGATATCCATCTACTCAGTTTTGCCTCCGCTGAACATCTTGGCAAAAAATTGCTCGGCAGTCATTAATGACTTTGGCTCTCCTGGAGCGACCACGTCTTGAACAGATTTCTTAAGCGCCTTCGCCTGCTCTGCATCGAACTCCTGATTCGCGAAATATCGACCATCCGCCCATTGTGTGAATGAATACATGTCCCTAATGCTTTCGAGTGCTCTAATGCCGCCCATCGTAGGGAACTTTTCTATTTCGAGGGGAACATATCGTGATGTTTTGCCGGTAACTATGCAACTCCGAAAATAAGGGCTTCTGGTTAGCCTGTATAATTTGTTGGCATATCGCGAATGGGGCCGCACCTTTGGTAAAATCTTCAATGATCTCCTGAAATGTTGCTAGATGGCCAAATCCTTGGATGGTTTTTCCGCCCCATGTTTCTGGGTGCAGCAAAACACCATGGACAAGATCTCCGAAGTCTTCCTCGATTGCAATGTATGGAACCAATCCCGGGCCACCAACTAGAGGCTGCGAGAGTGTGACATAACCTTCAGAGTCCGTCGCGAGGGGGAATCCGCCGAACACTTCTGCAATGAATGGAGACGTGAAGTTTTCGAAGTACCAACCGGCACACACAGCTGTTACAGTTTTGAAATTAGGACTATTTCGGGCGAGCTGTTCGATTTTATTTTTGTCTGGATAAAGAGTTAGTAGGTAGGCGAAATAGAATACGGAAAATTGATACTAACTGTCCATCATATCTAGTTTGACGGCCCCTTTAGTAATTTCGTAGATATGGCCTGCTGAGCTATACACGAAATGCTCCACGCCAGCTTCGTTTGCAGCATCTACAATGACGCGACCAAGGTCCAGCTCAGTGGGTCCATTGGGATCATCAAAAGCCTTATGATTAACTGTTAGCATCTCGCATCGCCATACTCTCAATTTGAATGGTCCAATGGGCTACAGTCCTCGCAGCTCTTACCGAATCGTCGGAATTAGTATTAGCAAATACTGCCCAGCTGTCTTTAAATGCATTGGCCAAATCGTCTTTCTTAAATCCATCTACTCCCACAACCTCAACGCCAGCCTGAGCCAATTCTTTAGCTTTAGGGGAGTCAGGGTTCCGGGTGAGTCCTCGGACACGGAATGCCGCTTTGTTGCGAAGAAGTGATCTGACAACAGAACCGCCTTGGTTACCTATGGAAAACGAAGATCAGAGTCGGCCCAGTCATGAGGAATGGTAAGATGGTAAATTTCAAAAGTTTACCTGTAGCACCAAAAACAGTGACAAGTTTTGGGGACGCCATTTGATTTTGGGAAGTATAGAAATATATGGAAATAATTAATATGATTGTCGTTTTTTCACTGTAGTAGAGCTGGATCGGTGGATTCAATGGATTGATTCTCTCTTGTTTCTTGCTGATACCATCCCATTTATATATCACAAAATTCGACACCCTTTGGGTGTCTTTCGCTTTACGCACTGTCAAGGTAGGGTAGGGCTTTCTCGAAATTATTCTGCCTGAAAAGCACGACACGTTGTAGACACTGGTTCAACGCTGAATGGATATTAGGAATAGCATTCGAGAGTCTATGGAGACACGCCAAGTTTGCCGAGTGTTGGGAGGGGGGGTGGAAATTCGTATCGTGTACTCCGTATGCTTAACTCTATCTAAATCCCACTTCGCCAAGGCTGACGAAGATATCCATAGGAAAACGACGTCATGCTTCAAAACGCTGGGAATTGGCACAGAATGTAACATCTCGAATGCCTTGAAGAAAGTATGTGTGGAAGGAGGACACTTCTCTCGGTATCGCTCGCTCCGATTACCCAAACGTCCCTTTTTCGGCAAGCCGGAGTCTTGAAAGCATCATCTCGGCGCCGGCATTTTCTCTCCCGGCAAATAGGGATAGAAGATTTGGTGGTCTCGTCTGCCATTCTCCTTGACAAAGTATGAGGTACTTTTTCGCTTCACGGCGACATCATCAGAGGCAAAGGGGACTTATATTGGCACGTTCCACCCGTTGCTAATGCATGTGCCGTTCAATAACTGGCGCCAACCTTCCAACAGGTTCGTATTATTTAGGCACCACATTAATTTCAATTCCTAAAAGACTCCTGATCACGAACATCGTTGTGATGGGTAATGTCTTCGAGAAGTTAATGCAGGCTTCGCGCTTTGTTGATTCTCTGACATCCCCAGGCAACAGCATTAACATTATTTACGGCAGCATATCTGTAGCAAGCATCCCATCCACCATACGGCAAGGAACCCCGCGCTTAGATTCCACTGGCTTTTTTGCGCGGAAACTACTATCCCCAGAACTTTCTACCAAGCCGACTGACATTTGGCAGATATCGGGAAGCAGATCTCAAATACAACTTCCTTATTATATATAACTTTCCGACATCGGTGAAGAACTCAGATCGATTTCTCAGGTAAGCCCAAAACTTGCGGCCCGTGCGATTTAACAGTCGCACCACGGCCCCGCGCGCCAAGAATTTTGACAACCTGTCCAAGTGGGACCAAACCAATGGCAGGAAGAAGTGCAGGGAGTCAAGGGTTTGGAAATAGTGGCGCACAATACAGCCTTATCAATAATAATTATTAAATCTAGCTTGTCTGTTTGGGATGAAGCAAACGAACCCTAGTAGGTGATCAGAAGCTTGGGTTGCTGTGACTTTCCTTGCCAAAAGCCCTCCGGTGACGAGAGAGCCCCTCGAAGCCAAATTTGGTTGGTTGGTACTTGCACAATCTTTCTACCACATCTGCTCCGTCTGAAGGGTCATTATTGCCCTGTTCTTCCACTTCATCTCCTTGCCATCCACTCTGGCTTTTGCCAAGCTGCTACTGGGAAATGCTGGAGCCTGGTAGCGAGATTCTCAGATCAGCCTCAGATTGGGGTCTTCACGGTGAAACCAAATTTGATCATTCCGTTAAGCTAGCCAAGTAGCTGGCTGCCTCTTTAAGTAGCCAGATATACGTCAATTGTCATCGAAACCAGCTTCTCGCCGAAACCTCAAGCAGAATGACAGTGGCGGTTAGGACCGTAGTGGACAAAATGTCATTATAGTTACGTCCATTGGGACGAAATCCTGAACTTTGCATGGTTACTTCAATGGGAAGCTAAAGCGCCGCCAATAACGCTGCACGGAACATCCTTCATCCCGAATGTGGATGGCTCTCTGTGTTCAGGGCGTCGAAATTTGAGAATGTTTTGATTGAAGCGCTGGGCTGAGCCATCAGTCTTGCACAGCATGGAAACTGTTTTTAGAAGTAATTGCACCAGGCTGCAGCCCCCCACTGCAACGGGGAGTCTCTGACAATTTCAACTGCTGTTGAAGCGCGCTGGCTTAGCCAGTTAACCTTGCCTTTGCATGGCCGGATGGGTGTGGAAGTGGAGGAGAGAATCAAAAAGGCTGCTATCTGCTGTGGAAATAATAAATACAAAAGAAAAGAATGAAATTCCAAATTGTCAATAACCATTTTCCCCCAGTACAAGTCAAGGTTCAAGCTTGCTCTGGTCAAGGGATGGTGGTTGGTTGCAAAGATGGAATTTTTGGTGAAGGGGGCAGATATACATTCGACTATCTTCACCGCCTTCCTCTTTGCGAAACTGCCGTCCCCTTTCACACAAAATCCTCTCAACTTCACATCGAAAAGACTCTGTGACATGCAAAAATCCTGCGACAACGCCCTACCCTACCATCGACACGCTGTGTAGTTACACATTCCAAAGGAAATTGGGATATCGCCAGACACAAATAATCTGCCACCATGCCCCCGCAGTTCGAGTTTCGCGGGAACAGGCAGGGGGGAAGACCCCGCCAGCAACCTGAATTCACGTTTCGATCTCGGTTCCCCAAAACTTCGGCGCGACCATTATTGTCAATGTCGCAAAGAGAAACGACACCTGAACTCTTGTGTTGCCCGCAAACCACAGAGCAGAAAGCAAGAAAATTTATGTCTTTAGAAGATTTAACTGATAGCGACGAGGCAGAGATGGAGGTTTCTTCTGCAGATGAAGGGTCCCAACCTCCACGAAAGAAGCAGGTTACCGAGTCTAGCGCAGGTCCCGTTGCAAACGCCCCCAGATGGTCGAATCCGGACCCGTACACCGTTTTGCCGCCGTCTGATGAGAATCCAGTGAAGAGGAAAGACTTTGTGAAGCTGATCCGCAAGGCAAGAATACAGTCGACCCCACAACCTAAACCTGATGAGCACAATGCTGTCGTTTTGAACGATGATTTTATATCCTTTGGCATGGATGATATGGAAATGGATGAGACACCTGAAAATGCGCCCCGGGGGCCAAAAAGCTCGATGAACCAAGATGGTGACCCTGCCCTTGGCAGCAGAAAGCGAACCCATGACGACGAAATAATCGGGCAGTCCAGGCGCCCTGGCGCCGTGGGAAAGTTCTTTAATTCTGATGGATCAATACTTCTCAAGTGGAAGCCGTTCGAAGACCAGAATACGACTCCTTGGATAGATTCCTTAGGCCCTTCTATCGTCCATTTAGGATCCAGGTAAGTTAAACAGTAATTCCCTGGTCGGCATCACCACAGCTAATGCCCATTTCTTCGTCAGGCTGCACAACGAAATTCTCAGTTTTTACCACTGGGTCAAACCCAAACCTTTCGAAAATTCGATTAGGAATGACTTGATCGCGCGGCTCCAGCGTCACTTTGAAAGAAGACATTATAGCTCCCAGCTCAGGGCTTTTGGTTCATTCGCCTCTGGACTCTATCTTCCGACAGCAGATATGGATCTTGTCTTGCTCTCAAGGCAGTTCATTCGACAGGACCGCAAGGTTCTTTGTCAACGGCCACGTGAAATCTACTCGTTTGCCGCATATCTCAAAGATCTCGACATCGCTGTGCCGGGATCCGTTGAAACCATTGCTCATGCTAAAGTCCCTATTATCAAATTCGTAGACAGGCTTACCGGCTTGAAAGTTGATTTGTCATTCGACAACTCCACTGGGATAGCAGCGAACGAAACATTTCAGGTTTGGAAATCTCAATTTCCCGCCATGCCTATCATTGTCTCCGTGATAAAGCAGTTTCTGCTGCTCCGCGGCCTCAATGAGGTACCAACTGGTGGTTTGGGTGGATTCTCGATCATTTGTTTAGTCACTAGCCTCCTCCAGCACCTCCCGTACAGTGGTGCAGAACCTAATCTGGGCGGTGTTCTCATGGACTTCTTCGATTTCTATGGTAATAAGTTTGATTCCAGGAGAGTCGGCATACAGTTCGACCCGCCCGGCTATTTCGATAAGGTATCAACCAATGTCCCCTGTCAAGTCTATGTAAACTAACCGCTCTCTCGCAGAAACTCCTTGGCGTCTATCAAGCAAACAAGCAACAGCGACTTGCAATTATGGACCCTAACAACCCTGATAATGACATCTCTGGAGGAACAAAGGAAATTCCACTAATTTTCAGGGCCTTTGCGGACGCTTATCAAATTCTTAAGCAAGATATGGTGCAAGCGGCTTTCTTCCCGCAGAAACGCATGAATAGCCTTCTAGGCTCGATTATCGGGGCGAACTATGAATCATACGACCGTCAGCGCACACATCTGACTAGTCTATGTGAAACTGATCCTCGATTTGCACACTTCTTCCAGCCTCCTCCCCCGAATAGCCCTCCACCAGAGGCGCCCGCGACACCTCCCCCACCTCCGCCAGAAGAACCGGGGACTGTGGCTGCAAGAGGGACCGAGCACAATAACTCATCACAAAATTCCAAGCTATCTAAAAAGCAGTCCACAGCATTAGATCGTGCCAATCGACTTAGGAAGCTTCGACCTGATTTGAAGAAAGTTCCGAAATTCGTGGCCCTCGACGCTGCTGTGAAACTGGGAGGGTACTCCTCAATTGTAGAAATGGATAGCGACTTATCCCGTAGGGGAAAGGCTCCTTTTCAGCAGTGAATCTATGCTACCGATTAAGCTTGTTGTGGACCAGTTTCATGTTTTGCAGTTTGGCAATCAATCAACGACACGTACCAGGCGTATCAGACATCTTGCCCCCAGCTCTGACTTCGTTAGATGCCCTCGAGTCCTTCTCGGGATTATGTGGGCGGCTTTCGCCTACCTGTGTAGGCTCTCGTGACTTATCGATTCCTTCCTTTCTGTTATTCAAACTCTTTTTCCCCCTTTTTTTCCCCCCCTTGCTTCTCTTTTCCCCCTCAAACGGCGTTTCTGTATGATTATACTGGAATGATACCCATAACTATTAACCACAGGGCAAGTGGTACCGGCAGGATGGAGGATTTTGACTTTATTTTGCTTCTCATTCATGGTTCTGTGCTGTAGCGCACCGGACGGTTTCCTTCCACTGTTATACGCAATTAACATTACATATTCTATTTCATGTTTACCGCCCTCTCTCGCATACCGCATCGCGGTCGATCATTCCTTCCCAACGCTATTATTTTTCTACACCCCAGCTGTTAGCTGGATACCAGGCTCACCCTAGTTTCAATCGACTGAGAATTTTAAGAGGACCTGAAAATACGACAGATGAAGATTTTCAGGAGTAATTGACAATTATAGATCGAGCGCCCGGTTCCGCGGACATCCTATCCGTACCTTGTTCTTCAACTCTCCCGTTCCTCCCTCTATTGAAATTACCACGGCCTCCTCGAATGAATTGGGGCGAACATGCACAATCCACGAATCTCGACGCAATGCGATTAAGGTTAAAGCCACCCATTTTCTCATCGTCTTCCACCCCCTTCTCCAGTTCGCCCCTTAGGACTCGCCAACCCCCTCTTACCTTCCTTCTCACCATATGGTTCGCTATACGCGAGCATATGGAGAGGAGTCCATAATTACTGCCGTTTCAGCCCAATTTCCTATTCGCTTCCTGCTTGCTCTCTTGAAAAACAAAAATCAGCATGATTTTTTTACGAGGAGCGGAGGCATATCATATGTATTGTTGTTCTATTCTTTTCAGATCTTTCACATATCATTGTTTTTCTTCTTTTGTTTTATTCAATTGCCATTATCATTGCATCCTAAGAAGAGAGAGAGAGAGAGAAAAAAAAACCCCCTTTTTGCGTATCTATCTTATACCACAGGGCAAAAAGAGGAAGCCGCACAAAGCCTCAAATTGATTGCCGTATCCCATCACTTCACATATTCCGAATTTGCTTCTGAATCATAGAACCATTCAACAGAAAGATAAAAAACGGAAGAGGGAAAGGCAAAAATAAACACCGCTAAACCGTTAAGCGCTTAGGAATCGGGATACTATCGTCGTTGACTGAACCTCTTTTTTTTTTTTTTTTTTTTTTTTTTTTTCCTTCGCTCTAGCCCTCCCCTTTTACTTGTTTACGCAGATGTTTCTCTATTTTCAGGAGCCATTCATTAGTCCTCGTTTTCTGATCCTGCCCTTTCACCACATTTCCCCTCCACTCCCCCGAAGCGAAGGAAGAAAACGAAAGAAATAACACTCTCAAGCGGAGACCATCAAAAACAAAAGTAACTATTAACTATTACTTACAACAGGATCACAAAAACAACCACCCTCACAATCCTTCGCACTTCCGCATTTGGTCTCTTTGCTCTGGCAGCGGTTATCGAGCGCCATCTATTTTTCACACACATTTAGTCCCGACGTCATCTCTCTCTTGAGCGCCGTACTCTCCCCAGATGTTCGTTCCCTGGGTGGGGATCATTTGAGACGGCTTGATTCAGCATTGCTAAAGAAACAAAAAAGAAGAGACTCACAGCAGTATCCCGTCTAGCCGGGCTCCTCATATCTTCTTCCCCCATGATCGGACTCGCCGTCACAACCCCGACAAAGAGAGCAGCAAGTACCCAGGTGAACTTCATATTCGCGGAAATTCCTCTTGATTCTGGGGCCGGCGGGTATAGTATATAGTCAAAACTAGTTAGGGCACGTCAATTTAATAGCCAGACGGGGGGGGGGGGGTGGCGCTTCCGCCTTCTTGGGGGGAAAACATAAGGGTTAAAAAACAAAACCCCGAGGAGGTAAAAGGCACAGTAACATGTATAAATCATACCTGTTGTCTTCTTGTCTTGTCCCCTCTATTCAGGAGATAGAATAATAGGGTCAAAACCCCAGAGACAATGTAGATAACTAGACTAGGCGCAGCTGATCTTCAGAAACAACGTGGGACTTTTGTGTGTCTGAGGATGGATCCGGGGAACCATCAAGCATATATAAATAGGGGCCGGGAAGGGGGGAGATCTCGCCGCGGGAAAAAAAGGAAAAAAAGGAAAAAAAGGAAAATTTTACCTGGATGGTCATAGACAAGTGAAACTACAGACTATAAATGTCGTCACAGGCAGGGTAAACAGCATATAAACTTATATACGGAGTATACATACATGCATCGAACACGTCCATCTTCTCATCTCATCTCATCTCGCACAAGCGCGGTAAGCCACGCTCAGTTCTCAAACGGACACACAAAACAAAACACAAAACACAAAACACAAAACACAAAAACCAAGAAAAAGAAAAAGAAAAAGAAAAAGAAAACAAAATTGCAAAACGCAAATCAAATCCACAAGCAGCTCCCTCCCACCCACGAGCGAGTGGCGCAGATCTGCACCAAGCGCGAACAAATTCCAAGTTGTCCCAAAACGTCATACTATACTCGTAGCCTCTTTTTTGGCCGTGTGCGCGAACGCGATGTGCTACGTGAGAAAATAATAAGTTAAGTAACTAGTTAGTTAGCAGGCATGATTAATTAACTATTAACTGTCCTCTGTTCTGATGGAGTCTGATTCTCGCTGTTCTTGCTGTTGAGACCCCCCCCCCTTTTTTCGCTGCTCACCGCCGTTGTGATTTTCCATCAACTAATAATTATCCCATTCAATCACTGATGTTTATGTGTACAGCGTATGCGAGCTCAAGCAAGTCAACTGGGGGAAAAGCAAGCTAAATAAGCTAAAGAAATTAGTAGTTGTTTACTTGAAAGTAGTTAGTTATTATTCAGGATTCAACAGCCAGCTTCTTTTAGGAGTGAGTTGTCAGCCAGCCAGATTATTTTATTATTACGCTGTACTAACTACTCACTCGACTTTGCAGCAGCAGATAGAAGGATTTTCTTCTCCTTTTCTTTCCGCAGAAGAGAAGCCTTCTCTTGTTTTATGTTTTATTTAACCCGGGAAACCCAGGTTGTGTTGGGTTGTGTTGGGTTGTGGTGGGTTGTGTTTTGCCCCTTTTCCCACACACCTTGCTTGCTTCGGCGATTTCTTCTTCTCTTCTTTTCTTTTTTCATCACGCCCGTCACACAGCAGATCGAGCTATGGGAATCCGAAACAATTGCAACCGGGGGATGATCGTCCCCGCCCCGCCCAGAAAAGAATATATATATAAAAAAAATACTAATAACAAACACAGCAACGAGGCAAAGCCTAAGACGACCCTGGTATATTTATTTGGACATACCACAGTCCACAACCAGATAAATATCCCACGGACAACGAAGCAGGCATGGAAGTTTGAAACCATGAACGAATCCCAGATTCCCTCCTCCAATCGCCTCAGTTGGCCCAAGATTTCAATATCAACAGGCAACGGGGAGTCACAGTCCTGGTTGGTCGTTGGTTCCGCAGTGGCAGTCTCAACGCGATACATAGCTAACATATCCTGTTTCGCGGTGAAGGGTAGACAGATAGATAGTCTATCGTTTGATCGTGCCCATTCGCTGCCAAGGGATAAAGAAGACTTCATGATTTTTTATTTTATTTTTCCTGCTGAGGAAAAAATATGGAGTCAAGTCCCAAACCTACCTTTCTGGCATCCTTGTTCCAAGCTTGCCTTGCAAATCATGATTACAGACTTCACAGTATTTCCCTTCTACTTCTTCGTCTAGCATATCCATGGATACCGTGGATGTTTCACAACCTCGAAGTTGTACGTTTTGGCCATGGCATAGGTGAATGCTTCGAAACAAAGCGATTAGCTCCAGCTGGTGGCACAAAGACTGCAATTGTTTCTATCTAGTTATTATTATTAACGGCTGTCGCCTCCGTATAAAAGCTACCTAAAAAAGAAATTAAGAAAGAGCAAAAATAATGACAGGCATGCGCAATTTGGGTGTAAAAACCCAGCAGTTCTGCCAAACATGTGGGATAATCTGATAACGAACTGTACGCCCCAATTAAAAACAGAACGAAACCGACTAGCAGGAAACAACGAATGAATGAATAAAAAAAAAGGGGGGGGGAAGGGGGGGGGATATTATAAGCGAAAGAAACACAGCGGGGGAAGAAATCAACCTATTAACAAAAATGAGCGAAAGTGGTAAGACAGCATCTAATATCGCTTTGTTCCAAGGCACTATACACATAGAAGTCGTCAGCTAATGCTTGAGTGGAATAGCAATCAGAAAATGTTCTGGGCTACATACCAGGAATTAAGCCTCGAAAATCGTCTTCGAGAACACGCCACTCAATCGCAATCCCAGAAATATGCTCCCTTATCCGTACCGAACGCCTGATTAACCGGAGTTTCCGATATTATGTGTATACGCACTGTTCGGGTTTGATCCATCCCAGTGAGGAAAGATGCCGGAAATGATCATTGTAGGAAGCGCTCCCGGGAAATCCACGCTTGCGCGTTTTCGTACTACTCCGGTCTCCCCACATCCGCCAACCCCTGAGTCTCCTCCTGCGATCGCCGCATTGACCGAACCGGCGACTGCCCTTGCGGGGGGGAAACACGTCGGCCGTTTCCTTTGGATTTACACTCCGGGCATTTATTGGTGAGGAGGAAACGCCAGGCCATTGTTACGAAAAACCAGAAGCCCCGAGGTGTTTCTGGGTCCCGTTTCTTTAACCAGTAAGCCCACCTGGTTGGTAAAATACTACGGCATTCCTTGCACAAACGATAGGATCTCCCATTCCGAGCTGGATCTAATTCTGGAGCGTTAGCAAGGAAATAGTACCTGCTACTGAACATGCGCGGAGGCGTACCATCGACCATTTCATCCCTAGATGCAGGAGAAGTGCCCCTTGGGGGTGAATAACCAGGCAAAACCTCAGCTGCATCATTGCCTGGTGTGCTAGTGTTATTAGGCGCGGGTGGAGAGGCAACACGGCCATTTGCTGGAGCTGGAGCCGGAGCTGGAGCCGGAGTCGGAGCCGGAGTTGGGGCTGCAGCGGCCGCGTTTTCAGCCATGCTTGCAGCTACAGACAGCTGTGTAGCACGTAGCTATAAGGCTAAGTCCGATATAACGAAATGGACCACTTCCTTGTTTTCTACAGCCAATACCCTCGTCGAGAGCAGTACTGTGTTGAGCCTGTGAGAAAGCGTCATCAGAGAAATGAGCAATAAGGCTCCCTCTATCCCTCTCCAATAACCCAAATATGGGTAGTGGAGGAGCCATGTTTTCATCTGTTTCCAGCATCCAGCTCGCCTCCCATCACGCGTTGCACTGCATCTCTCCGGACTTTTAAGGGGGATATAACTTACTTGGAAATCGTCAAGACGCTACGAATCTCCAAAATCGGGCAACTGGGCGCCGCTGCCGCCGCTGCAGCAGCAGCTCTGTGCAATGGAGGAACAAACAATATGCAGACAACTATATTGCAGTATATAAATGTCAAGATACAGATTTAACGAACGTGCTATACGATACGGCTGTGGGTGTTGTTGTTTTTGTTGCGATTGGGAGTTGGAGAATTGCGGAGATAAACAATCTATTTCCTATGTCTATGCATCGCGCCTTCTTCCGGTTTATCCATGGATTCCTGCGGCAGTTGCGACGGGCATGAAGACCTAGAAAGGTAAATAAGGAAGGCAGCACATCCCTGCTGTGTTTACCGATCGCTCGGTCACGCCTGCCAGATATCGCAAAAAAGAGATTCCTTGGAAGGTGCGGAGATGGCGAAGATAGAAACAGCAAAAGACAATATATGTAACGTGAGGGAGATCATTCAACAATCTGTGAAATTGTATGTTGAACAGAGAAGAGACTCCATATATTGATGGATAAGCGGGTCGTTTCTTTAGTCTGTAAGTCTGGCTCTCCGACAAGGTAAATAATTTATGTAACTGAATTTAAGCAAATTTTCTGTACGGTGTGAGAATTGGGTTGTTGTAGTCGTATCGCACGTCGCTGGACGAATTTCGACGTACATGAAGGTAGTAAATGCATGTCCTACAATGCCACTTAAATAAGACTTGAAGTCATGGGAGAGCAACCAAAAAGCAAGATAAAAAGCGAGTCGTCTACCCATAAAACAACGGAGAGAGAAGAGGATTATCTCAAAAAATAAAATGCGTCGTATGACGCTTGTATACCAGAAATGAGTGGGTGCGCTAAGGATGGCAGCAAGAAGAGAGAATCAAATAACCAAGCATATCATTTATTCATCAATTAGCCGCCCTAAAATAGCCAAGTTAACGGAAAACGCGCTTTCATTTGACAGCTGGCTCCAATGGAGGTGTAAGCAGTCTGCCCTCCAAGTCCTTCATATCAATATCTCCTTCGCCTGCATCCGTCGTAGCGATCCCTTTTCCTGCCAGCTCGTCCATGTCGTCAGGGTGTTCGGGAGGGATATTTACAAAGCCTTCTTCCGGACTCGCCCAAGTATAATTTACCCACTCCGGTCCGAGAATCTCGCGAATTCCCTTGGTGAGCTTTAAAATGCGTTGTCGTCTACCTCGAGACCACTTACGATCGGTAATATCACCGCACGGAGTGAGAATGGCGGGGGGTTTAGAGGTGCCTATAAAAGGTGACGGATCAATGTCGTCGCCGTCGTCCGTTGTCGCATTTGTTCCTTCCGGGAAGTATCCAACCTCTTCGGAGGGGACAGCATCGTCATCATCATCATCATCCCCTTGATCCTCAAGCCCATCGACAATGCTTTGCCACACACGAAGAGTTTCATTCAACTCATCGATATTGCTCACACCTATGACACTAACACCTAGCCGTCGTCCAACACCAACGGTAGCAGCGGAGATGAATCCCGGATCAGCATCTGGGGAAGGTGCAAGTGGCGGCCCAAGAGCACCGACACATGAGCCCTCGCGCAACCATGACTCGAGCGCATATCGTATAGCAACAACTTCGATTTTCTCTCCCTGCTGCTCTACCCATTCGCTTGCCGTATGTATAGCTTTGCGCAGTCCATCGAGCGCAGGATGGAAATCACCCATACTTCCGATAGGGACGCCTTTACGTCTTAAAAGCCCCATTCCTAACGGGGAGGCGTTGGGAACCACATCGACTCCCGCAGCAACAAGACGCGGTAGGCCCTCCAGAGCAAGCTTTGTGTTCTGCAACGTAAAATTGGCGTAAGACATCACAGCGTCCAGCGGCTCACCAGTCCTTTCCAAAATCATTTCTGCCAGCGAGCACAAAACGTCCACAGGGTACCCTGATATTCCGACATAACGGATTGCCCCCTCAGTATCCCGTATTCTGCGCAACTCCACAACCGCACCTACGACTTCTTCTGGCGAAACAAACTCGACATCATGGCAGTATACGACGTCTAGGTAAGAGGTATCAAGGCGGGATAAGCTACGCTTTATGCTTTTTCGTATCCATACCGGTGAATAATCGAAGGATTGCGCTGCGACTCGACCAACCTTGGTAAGCAGGCGGTAGGTGTATCTTGGAAAATTGGAACGAGCGAAGCTAGTGGAGAGAGCACGTCCCAGTAATTCTTCCGCTGGACCGTAGTAAGGAGACGTGTCAAAAGCCCGAATTCCCGCAGACAATGCGCGGTGGACTATCGCGGTCGTGGGAAGTGCATATGGGTCAGCATTGTACTGTGAGGAAAAAGTTGCAGTTCCGAAAACGAGCGGTGGTAGATCCGCAGATAGCGGTACAGAAGGCTTCCCCATAGCCCTTCAGCTTAAAGGGTAATCTGTCTGATAAAAACGAAGAGGCGGTGATGAGGATGCACAATGGGCCGCCTGCAAAAAGAATAAACGAGTGTAAAGCTCAAGCCTGCATGTAAGAATGGACTGAGAATTTTTTGGTCAGAGAGGAGAGGGGTAAGGAGACGCGGAGAGGGCGAGGGGCCAAGTGATAAAGAAAATCTAAACTAACTACCCCTGATCGCCGTGGAGGAAAGAGAGCGAGTGCGAATATCCTAGAGAGTCCATGCTGGAATGTCCTTGTCCGTCCCGCTCTTGACATGGGAGGGGGGAATCGGAGTCACTATTAATAAATCGTTTTCCGCGCGGAGGCGCACCATGGAACGGGGAAAGGGTAGCTAGCCCGAGAGGGCAGGGATAGTTTTTTTGAAAGCCAAAACCAGCTCCAGAGGGGGGCAAAGGTTCTCCGATTAGTTCAGGGGAATAATCATTGATTTATTTGTCGCAATACACCTTCAAACTTCATTTTATCAAATTTCGTTAAAACAGGCGAACACACATATGCTTGTCGTGCTTTGAGGTGATCCCAACGCACCCATCCCTGCGGGCCTGGAGAGAGACATCCTCTATTGTGTAGCTCAATACGGGCCTTTTCCTTTTAGTATTTCCTGTGGCTTGTTATAGGTTTATCGCTGAGGGATTTCACAATTGAGATAGATGTCTGACGACATAGGCGTGGACCAAGATTGGGCTGTTTGGCGCCACCCTCGTCGATTTGGAATCAGAAAAACAAGTCTGGATTGTCCTCAGCTTACACAACAGGCCGATTGCGCTAGGGAAATCAATAATATGGACGCTTGAGTTAGTGAGGGGTGGTACTTCGGGGTTTGAAATGACGACACTTGGATTGGCTCGTTGATATGCCCTTCATCTGCCTGAGATTCCCTGCGACAGGCTATCTCTGGTCAGCGTGGCACTATGAAGCATTCTTGTAATGCGGGGCGAGTAACATAATCAGCCGTGCTGGTGAGATTGATAGCTTTGTGGTCGACTGGTTGCTGAGGGAAGGGTTAACATAAAGGGAGAGATGGAGGGGAGCAATGTGAGAATGGAGGCAGAGCCGCGTCCGGCATTTCAGTTGGATAATCTCGCCCCAAAAGGGTATATTTATATAGTAATGCGCTCTTGTACTGTGGTTTGCATTGGGAATCTCTCATTCATTTAGCAACTCTAACTTCTAACTTCTCCATATCAAGCAGATAGATAGTCCATCAGAGTTTCGTTCTATTCTATAAATCTGATTTCCAATTTTCGCATTCCATCGTCGCTCTCGTAACGTAGACAAGAGCTGACTGACTGGTCGCTTCTCGCGTATTCAAAGGACTCTATCACCCTCCATCCCTTGCATTGACGGTTTCTTCTTCTCTCTTCTCTTCTTCTCCTCTTACACACCCCATCGTCGCCAATACTGCAAAAATTCCAAATAGCTAATATGTATAATACATCGAACGCCAACCCCAGAAGAAAAGTCTTTCAAACAAATAAGAGTGGAGAAAATCCAGCAGGCAACATATGGATGGCAGAGCAACAAGGGAGGAAAATCTCTCCTCTCATGATTCGTCCACAAGATCGCCACGCTGAAGAGCAAAAAGGGATATTGTATACAAAGGTGCGCCATACCTTCCAATACCATCGTGTGGAAACAGTCGTCAAACGTTTCGGCGGTATCCAAGATATAACAGGACCGTCTGTGTCTGTCGTTTCGTCAACGCTTCACAAATGATACCGATAGGACCGGAGGGAAGTAGGCTAGTTGAAATAAAAATGAAATGCGGTATCGTGCGTTGGGAGCAAAACGCTAGACGGAAAAGGGAGGATGAGAGGCACAGAAGCCGAACAATAGGCCTTAAAGGAGGGGGAAAAAAGCCGAAGACGCCTGTGCTATGCAATAAAAACTAGAAACAGTGGCGATATATATCAACAAGAAGTATTTTGTGCGGTGGCTGTAGTCGACACCATAACCGAACTCATATATCCAAGCAGGTCGCTGGGATCTGTCGAAACGTCCGCGGAATGGAGCTGGATACGTCGAAACGGGTGGGGCGAGGCGTTATTGTGTATAAGGTCACCGATCCTTATAAACCTTAGGTTTCCAACCCTCCTTCACTTCTTTGTCCATAGCAGCCTTCCGTTCGGCTTCTCGAACCTCCATCTCAATCCGCTCGCGGGCTCGAAGGATTTTGCTTTGTAAGTAAAAGCTCCCTCCCTTCTTCGGGTCATTTGCATCGAACAGCTTCTTGAAACGTTCCATTGTGTGTTCCAGGTTTGTCTCGCCGCCCATTGGCGGCTTCACATTTAGGATCTTGCAGGCTTCGTCGAGGGTAAGACCAGAGGAGGCGAAATTGTTTGATGCAGTTCCGTCGCTCTTTTGCGCCTGGGCTGCATATTTCGACGCGGCTGAGGCTTGCTTGTATGCTTCCGCAAAGGCTCTTCCAAAGACCCGACCGCCCGTGAGGACTATCTGGGCTACAATCCGGTGCGCCTGGAGATAGACAGACTTGTCAGTAAACTTGAGTTTGGTCGGGAGGCAAGGGAAGCTGGGGTAGAAAAAGAAAAGTGCTGGGAAGAATTAAACATACCATCCCAATTTCTTCCCAGAACTACTCAGTTATGAGAATAGTTCTTCCAACTTCTACTTCCCGAAAGATCACTATTAGCGAGTAAGGGCGCGAGAGCGTGGATAGCGGTGTTCAACAAGATGGAAAATGTCGTTGCCGGTTTGGTGGTGGAAAGATTTCTTGCCAGAGGAAATTTCAAGGCCTAATCCGGTTTAGCTCATTTGCGACAGCCGCTTTGCTGTTTTGAGTTTAGAGCACAAACTTAGCTAGGAGGTAGCCTTGGCATCAAAATAAGCCAACTCCAACAACCAACTCTCGCCTCTTTGTATGGCTATTACCAGCAGTACAATGGGTGATTTGTCCCATTCTCTCCGGAAACAATGTCCTACGTTTATGATTGACGGGGTTTTCTGGAGTGTATACTCCTTGGGAATTTCTCTTTCATGATGAACCCTCGAGTTTCAACTGCCTTGGGTCTTGTGTAGCTACCAATGGTGGCAATTCTCAATGAAACAGTCACCATAAGGAATTGTATATTTTTGATGGATGATGAAGCTCCTTGCAGTGGCATATTTCTTTGTCGGACTATTATCTTATAGAGAAACATAAAATTTAGTTGGTTTATGGGATCCCGTCAGGCAGCCTATTTCTAGGGGTCTCTTACATAACATCTCACACTTTCATTGAAAGGTGATCAGCGCAGGATGCAGGTTCCCATAGGCAGCATGTTTCTATAGGACTCTTTCTATAGATAATGCTAAAGAATTTATGCGTTCCATGAAGGCCCCTAAGGTGGCGTACCCTTTGGGGATGTTCGCACTCGCGAGGATCCCCAAGAGTTTCCCTTCGGCGGCTACTCCTTCCAGTACTACCAGGATATATAAAGGGTATATATAGCCCTTTAATATCATTGAGACTCTTAGCGCTCTTTTGACTTCTCCATCGTCCTCAATTGTGTTTTGCGCGGTTGATCCTTGTTCATTACTTGCAGTCATTTTTTATTATTCGTCCTTCCGTCCTTCGATATCAACTCCGCCTACTGGAATTCACCACAATGTCTTCGTTCTTGTCTAGGACGAACACAGACGGGGGAGAAAAAGTGACCCCCTCAGAGGCTGAAAGCAAAAAGGAGGTCAATCCTGATTGTGAAAGGAATGCTTTTTACACATCTAAATTCAAGTCACTCCCATCCGAATTCTTATGCAAGATCACGAAAGCTCATGTTGAGGTTGTCCAGTGGCGCCTGGGAAGGGCCGACCCGGGGACCCGCCCACCGTGGTGGCCTGAAAGCGTAGATTATGCCGACGTGGATAAGTTGAGTGAAGAGAGTATGAAGTCAACCGATCATTTTTTTTTTTTTTCAATGTCCTCGACTGGCCTCGCATGTATGCTGATTGGCAGCAGGTCGCGTCGTCGTTAACGCCCACATATTTTCCAACCTTAGGATTAAAGGAGAGGAGCTCGAGGGCCCATTTAAACGAATGCCGAAAATACCCAACGAATGCGAAGCCGTAGAAGATCTCAGCAAAATATATGAAAAGAAGAAGTCGGAAAGCTAATCAAAGAGGAAACCTTGGTAAGTGAAATGAATTTTCCCATTCAACATTTTTGATATCACTATATTAATTACTCTCAATTAGATGAGTCCGCCGAAGCGTGAACCAGACAATAAATTCGGTAGTTTGGCAACTGAAGAGATTGATGGGACTGGGATGGTAATCGGATACTTGCAGTCCCCTTTTTCTTTTCCTCCGAAGGAGGATTTCTTTGCAGGATAATATATAATTAATACGAGGCATGCTTATCTCAACTTAGTTGAATATCAATTTCATTTTTCCACCCTGAGCTCTTCTTTGCTTGTATTTTGATAAAAAAGATCGTCAGACGCACATGACAGGAGACGTGAAGGTTTGGTTGGTTTCACGATACTTGGGCGAAGGGCATGAAGGATGAAACAGTTCCACCGGCAGGGTATGTCCGTTCTGTTACGCAAGTCACTGACCGCAGAGTTATTGGGTGGGTAACTGCCATATGTACATTACATGTACATCAATGACAACCATGAGGCTTTGAATTCTATATCAACCTATATACAATGGCCCACCCAAAAAAATTGACCTGTTGCTTCAATAAGATATTCCTTGTCACAGTCCTACTTGTCTTTGAGCTCATCAAAAGGCCCCTTCAGATCACGGAGAGAATCTCGAAGCTGATTTGTAAATTTTGCTAGCTATAGTAAGCAAACGGAAAAAAGATTCATACATGATTGGGCCTTACCATCGAAAGTCCCGTCCAGTGTGATGGTATGAGTAGCTCCAAAGGTATGGAGAGTGGCAGGGCTTGTATTGGCATCAGACTGGCGTGGAAGGTCCTGAGGAATTACAAGCCGAGGATATGGTAACGATTCTAGAAACTTGGGTGTTATTCAGGAAATGCAGAATTGCCCACATGACTTCTTACCATGTGCAAAGTATCGAGAATCATGATAGAAAGTTAGGGGACACTGGTCTGAGTCTCTCGCCAATGAGTGGATGCCTGCTCGGAAAGCATAACCAGTTTCTTTTGGGAGCATTGTGAAAGCCTCGTGGGCATGCCCCAAATCAACATTGACATTCTGTGTCACCAGGGATCCTTTATAGTCAAGGGTGATAAATTCTGCCAGCTTGGTATGTAGAGAGCGATAGATGCAAGCGCGCCTGGTTGTGAAATTAGATAGTTGTTTCAGTATGGAAGTAGGGAACTGCATGATGTCAAAGATTACAGTGAGGAGATGGTTCAAAGTTGGGTTTTTAGATTGGGAGCGCAGGAATATTTATCCACGCGGCGTATTTATTTATTTACGCTGCGTAGACAAAATGTTGATGGTCTTTCTGTAACATTATTTATTATCTCAGTAAACTCAGCCACTCCACTCCGAGCTAACTCAATCCGAACTACTGCTACTTTCTGTCAAGTCCTGCTAACATCTGAGTCAATCAACTGTCACAGGGCTTACACTAAATCTAAATGAGATATTCTCAGCAAACTCTTTACAGAGCATCTGAGAAAAAATGATTTCTGTTTATTAGTAATATAAGAATAATTTACTCTAATTATAATATTTAAGATAGAATTACTGTGTAATATCACTTATAGATCATTTCTCTATTATTTTATAGAATTAATTTTTCAATTTTCTATTAATTGATATAATTTTTATCTGAAAATATATATATTCTGAGTATGAAGTGTTATATTAAAAACTGTTACTATGATTTTAAATACAGGAATAATTTACTAATTTTTTAATCATAATTATATTTAGTTATTCAATATCTTGATCTTGCTATCAAAACATCTATTCAGTTATCAGAGACTATAGTCAAAGTACTGAGTATATTTTTCAGTAATTTCTGACAACTTCTGATAACTTCTGAACTCTTAATAATCTTATATAGTATATTAACTTATGATAACTTCTGATAACTTCTGAAATCTTCTGATAACTTCTGAATTAATTATATAATACTTCTTTTTAACAGCTGAGTTGAACAATATTTCATCAACTGTATTAAATATAATCAAGAGAAATTGAAGAAAATATATAAGTCAGCTATAATAGCAGCTTCAAAAGTCATTATTAAAGTAAATACTTTTAATAAATATTGAAGATATATTATAACTTATTATAAACTATATCAGATCAGATAGTATTAATAAGTAATAGAATATTATTCAGTATTATTTTTAATGAATACTTCAAGATCTGTGTTCAGATTCTGAGTGTACTCTTCAGTTATATATAGACTGACTGCTGAGATCATGAATTTCACGTTTGATCTCATTTAATCTGATCTCATACATTTCTTGGCGTGAATCCCACTGAGACTAGCCATTAAAAAAACATGCAAAGTGACTATATATCAGATCTTAAAATGAAATCATGACTTGAAAAAAATAAGAAAGTGATCTCATTTAATTCTATTTAGTTTCATTCTTGGCATAAAGTTACTATTTTTAGACATTTTAAGGTTTTTTTTAGACTATTTTTAATTTTTTAAAAAGTAACACTTTTTGGTAACACTCAAATGAGATTTAAAGTCATTTAAAGGAATAAAAATAATTTAAATTGAGAAGTGAAAATCATGATCTCATTTGAAAAATGTGACAAGAGTAGACAGTAAGTCTCACTGAGACAGTATGAAACTACTATCTAATGTTAAAACCATGTAATGAGATCAGTCAAATTGATAATGAGACTATTAAAAAATCTGGTCCTGGTCTCAGACACGGTCACACGGTCAGTCTAGTTATATATAGAACAAGTTCATATACTTCAGTGCATGATATATAAATATAATAACACTTTATTCATTATCAGAACTGACTATGAAAAGAGTCTTATTCTTCAATTCTATATAATTCTGATAGAAAAGATAATCATTTAACTGATTTCTTTAAACAAGCTTAGTAATCAGTAAATAAGAGATATAGTATAGTTTTCTGATATTAATTCTTATCTAATCAGTACTGATAATCTTCAGAGATAAAAAGACTTACTTTGTAAGAAATCTCACTCCTCGCGGATTCTTTACCTCTATTTCTATCTCTCACATAATCAATAGAGTTAGCCGCCCTTGGCTATACACAACTATATAGACTGAAGTTCACAAATACTATTCATAACTCAGCTTGAATGCTATTATACATTTGATCTCTACATTTATCTTTCTACTGTGAATACTTCTAGTAGTTAACAGTATATATCATATCAAGCTGCAAACACCTGAATAATCACCTGCAAGCACTTATTCTTATATTTCAAGCTCTGTCAGTCAGTAATCATCTGTTATGACTGAAAGAACTAGAAACTTGCATACTTCAATCTCTGTGAACTCTACTACAGACACTCAGAAGCAGTCACTCAAATCATGAATAACTCTTATAAAAGAAGTCTCAGAGAACTTATCAATTACTCACAGAATATTATTCTCTGCATCTGTGATAGAGAAACTCTCTGAACTGACAAATGAATCAATCTTAGTAAAGAACATTCTTAAGCATCTTCTATAAAATTAAGTTATTTTTCTATAAGAAATACTTACTGTCTGTAAACACTCTTGAACTGAGTCTCTAGACATAATCTTCAGAGATATCTACAAACTGAAAAGAAACTTTCTTAAGCTGTGACTACTTAAGATTACTTACTGAATCACAATCTATAAAAGCTTTTACAAGTTTGTATTTGAAATTGACTTACAAGCTCAGCTGTGTGATATAAAAGATGAAGAAGCTGTTATCTATATAATAACAGATCTCTACTACACTGAAGTCAAGAACTGACTGAATTATCTAGAAAATGATTATAAGAGATCTCACTGATCTATTCTTAAGATCTATCTAGAGAATAAGTTAAGAGACTCTGTAAGTTGAACAGAGAATATCTGAACTGCAATTATCAATATTAGAAAAAGAGATGAGAAATCTGATAAAGACTACTCACAGTACTTTATAGAATTATGATATGAATTAAGATCTATGAAAACAGAGCTCTGAAATAAGATCTGAATGATAATATTTATAAAGAGACTGAATAAAGACATGCAGAACAAGCTTATTAAATAAGACTCTAAGCTCTTAACTCTGAAGAAACTGATGACTCTCATTCACTACTTACAGATTACTGTGAGAGTCACAGATCTGCAGAGAGTGAATTATCAATCAGTCTCATAAGAACTAGAATAACAGAGAACAGATTTATCAGAGAAAGATAATAAGATATAGAGAGATTCATATCTGACTGCTGAGCAGAGAGAGAGAGCTTCATAAGCTCTTATAAATAGAGTGTATAACAGAGAGACTAAGAAAAAGAGTCTCTACTTTATCTGTTCTAAATTAGAATATCTCTGCACAAACTATTCAGACAAATCAAAATAGAAATTTGAGAAATTATGAACAGAGTTGGTAACAGTCTTCTTAAGAGTCTTGAAGCTGACACCTGAATCTGTTACTCTCTCAATAAAAATACTTACTTATAAGAAGAGACTGCATCACAGTGCTGCTATCTCACAAGTATGAAAAGTATTGATGAACTCAGAATCTCAGATCACTGTAGTGTCTCTAAAGCTTATAAAGTGAATAAGCTAAGTGATGAAAACTGAGAATCTGCTCTTATAATAAGCAGAGTATGAGAACTCAGATCTGAGAGCTGAGAAACTTATGAGAGTTATCTTTGAATTACAAGATCTCTTCAGAATCTGAAGAAGATTTATGAAAACTGTGATTATTATAGATATCACAGATGATATATACTTAAGACTTGTATAACTTTAAAGACACAATTCATACATAGCTGTCTGTGAGTCAGGTTTATACTTTCAATCAGTGTTGATAGACTTATTTACAGAGATAGAATCAGTTAATACTGCAGAGTTAATTAGAGAAGATAAGCTCATCTATATAATAACTTTATAAATATCTGAGAACTTTGCAGTCATGGAAACTGAGCTTCAGATATCAGAGAAATACTGAGATCTTACAGAGATATTCAGTTCAGCAAAGACAGCTGAGCTTTCTTCTCACTGTAAGAAGAATCTGATAATAGATTTAATAGAAGAGCAGAAATTCTTCTGAGAATTAATTTATAAGCTCTCTCATTATAAGACAGAGATCTTACAGATCTATATAAAGAAGAATCTGAAGAATGACTTTATCTGATCTTCACAGATCTCTGCAGAAGTCTCTGTGATATTTATAAAAAAGAAGAATAAAGATCTCAGATTATGTGTAGACTACTATAATCTGAACTTCAAGATAATAAAGAGTCACTATTCTCTGTCTCTGATTGAAAATGTAATCAATCATCTTACAGAAGCTGTTATATTCATATAACTGAATATGATTAATATATATACACAGCTGTAAATACAGTCTGAGAATGAATAAAAGACTATCTTTAAAACTGTACTGAAATTATTTGAATATCTAGTAATGTTTTTTAATTTAACTAATACTTCTATGATATTTCAGTCTTTTATTAATAAAACACTTTACACATATCTGAATATCTTTATAATAATATATCTGAATAATGTGATAATGTACTCTGTGAAGAAGAAAGAACATACTGAGCATGTGTGAAGTGTGTTAAAAATCTTAAATAAAACAGAACTGTATATTAAGCTTATAAAGTACAACTTCAGTGTCTGTCAGATTAATTTTCTAGAATATATAATTACTGCAGATGATATTCAGATGAAATCTTTATAAGTTGAGACTATTCTATTATAACTGAAGTTAACTAGTATTTATGAGATTCAGATCTTTCTGAGCTTTATAAATTTCTATAGATGATTTATCTTTATATTTGTAAGAATCTTCTTAACTCTTACAGACATGCTGAAGAATGAAAATAAGAAGAAGTCATTTTATAAATAGAGAATGAAAAGATTGCTGAGAAGAGAGAGCTGTGAGAACTTTCTTATTTCAGAAGCTTACAGAGTCTTTGCAAGATTGAAACAGATATTCACAGACACAGTGATACTGTTTTACTTTAATCTCTTACTCTTAATCAGATTAGAGACAGATATCTTCTTCTTTACAATTTCAGAAATAGTCTTATAACTACAGTTAAATAAGAACTGAGTTTCAATGATCTTTTTCTCATAGAAGATATAATCTGTGAAGATCAACTATAATATTTATAATCAGAAGCTTCTCATAATAGTGAAATTCTTTCATCACTGATATCACTACTTTGAGAGTCTCATAACAGTGATTACTGTTAGAACTGATTATAACAGCTTATAATAGTTTACTTTAATCAAGAAACTCTCACAGCAGCAGATTCACTGAGCTCAGAGACTGAGTGAGTTCTGATTCAAAATAGAATATA